TATATATATATATATATATATATATATAAAATATTGATTTTACATGTTGAATCTCTGTTGCATTCCAAAAATAAATCCCACTTGATCATGGTGTATAATCTTTTCTCTTTTTTTCTGGGATAGGGTCTCACTTGGCTGGAGTGTGGTGGCACAATCACAGCTCACTGCAGCCTTGACCTCCCAGGATCAAGCAATTCACCCATCTCAACCTCCCAAGTAGCTGGGAGGGGGTACAGATGTACCCTACCATACCTAGCTAATTTTTAAAATTTTTTGTTGAGAAAGAATCTCACCATGTTGTTGCTCAGGCTGGTCTCAAACTCCTCGGCTCAAGTGATTCTCCCACCTTGCCCTCCCAAAGTGCTGGAATTCAACAGGCATGAACCATCATACCCACCATATAAATCTTTTAATATAGGCTATTGGACTCAGTTTGGTAGTATTTTATTGAGGAATTTTGCATCCGTATTCATCACAGATAGTGGTCTGTAGTTCTCTTGTATTATTTTTGTCTGGTTTTGGTATCAGGGTAATGCTGGCCCTATAAAATGAGTTCAGAAGTGTTCCTTCATCTTCAGTTTTTTGAAAGAGTTTGAGAAGGATTGGTATTCATTCTTCTTTAAATGTTTGGTAGGATTGGGTGTGGTGGCTCATGTCTGTAATCCCAGCACTTTGGGAGGCCAATGCAGGTGGTTCACCTGAGGTCACGAGTTTGAAATCACCCTGGCCAAAATGGTGAAACCCCATCTCTTCAAAAAATACAAAAATTAGCCAGTCATGGTGGCAGGCACATGTAATCCCAGATACTTGGGAGACCAAGGCAGGAGAATCACTTGAACCTGGGAGGTGGAGGTTGGAGTGAGCCAAGATCACACCACTGCACTCCGGCCTGGGCAACAGAGTGAGGCTCTAAAAGTAATTAAAAATAAAAATAATAAAAATAAATGTTTGGTAGCATTTTCCAGTCAAGTCATCAGGTCTGGGGCCTTTCTTAGGAGTTATTATTATTATTATTGATTCAATCTTACTAGTTATAGTTCTGTTCAGATTTTTTAAATTTCTTTATGATTCAGTCTTAGTAGGT